TATATATATATATATATATATATATATATATATATAATTGTATATATATAATTAAAACAAAATACATATATAGACTATTTGTTACATAAAAATAGCGTTGACTATTATTAATTTGTTACTCGATTATTATAAATTTTATTTTATTACGATACAATCTATACATATTAAATTTTCCGATCATAAGAATATTTGTTTTATATAATATTTGTTATGTTAAATATTGTAATATTATAATTAAATCTTGTTAATCTAGATTTTAAATATTACACATAAAAATGTTTTTTTTTATATAAAAGAAGTATATACGCATATTAGATCAATAATTCTAAAGTAGATTTAAAAATTCTATTAATAAAAATTTTAAAAAATTTCTCTTTTTTGTGTCTAATTGATATAAAGTTTTTGCAAATACATTATTTTCTAGAATAATAAACTGAGTCCAAGTTATTTTTATAAATTATTCTCATAAACTAGTGATTAAATGGACATGAAAAGTTATGAATAATGTGGCAATAGATAGAAAATTTTCACTAAATTCGATTAATATTCTAATGTAATTTCTTATTTTTTTTTTTTCAGATTGATATAAACATCCGTATTATAAAAGATCTCCGATGCGTTTTCATATTCTCATATTATTTTGTACATAGAAAAAAAAAACTTACCAAATGACGCAAATAAATTATTGAAGGGATGTTAGAACAAATAAATTATTGAAACCAACAGTGCATATGTATTTATAAACAGATACGGATTGCTGTTACTTGTGCGTATATTTGCGATGTAATATTGTAAATATTATCCAGTAATATATTCAATTGATTTGTCTCATCTCAATTTCTTTATAATATATATATATGCGTATAACAATAAACCTTACTTGCAAATGCAAGTACACTGTAATCTTCGATACACACGCTTTTATGCGGCTTACAACGGTTACATCTGTTGCGTGGACAACGATTGCCAGAAAGGCGTTAATCTTATCAAGGTTTATCTCGCTATCGGATTGGTTTCGTGTATAACACGAGAACGGAAATTCCTCGCCGATCAGAGTGTATTTGATCGTGTATACGTTTGCTTGTGTATCGAATAAATCCAGCAAATTCGATGTGCCGAAGAAACGTATAGATAGGACGAAATTAGAGAACATTTCATCATTAAAGGTGCGCGATAGCGTATAAGCCGTCGTATAAAGACATGCTTGTTGCATCACGCGTCGATAATTGAGGAAAATAATGCGATTTTGTGGCATATTTTCGTGGCATGATTATGCGTGATCGATATGTTGCAAAATTGCAGATAAAAAAATTAATGCGATAGGTGTGTTTGCCTTTCTTTGAGTACGACGGTCTTATCTATCGTCAGCAACGGCGAATGCATTTATTTTTTTATCGATTCCAATGCAGCCGGCAAATACACACACATAGCGTTTGAACTTTCCAGATAATTTTGCGATGTTCTCAAAGCCCGTGATTCATTCCGTGCATAATCATTTTTGCGTATTTTAAAGGTAAGGAAGATGTCCGAGGACTCTTAATCGAGTTGAGAAAAAAAATTTCGTATCGAGACGAAAGATCGAGTTACATTACCTCACGTATAAGATTTTTACTTGCGGAATGACTTGCAATTGAAAGTGGGCAAGAATCGGTTATTCAATGAACGACTTAATTACGAACGACTTAATTATCCGTGAAGGCAGATAAATGGTCTTCGTCGCGCGGATGAGGCAATGGAGGAGGCTGAGCTCACCATCGAGTCAATATTTGATCTACGAGATCCACGACCCGCCGTCGAACGTCGTAGGCCGCAATAACGAAAGAATATCTACGAAAATGTGCGGCTTATTTAAACAAGAGACACGTGCGCACGTAAATCCTTGCGTATACACAACGCGTTATTGCACGGAGCGCGAGATGCCGGCGGAAGTAGTCACTTCGGATCCTCCAACGCCGATGGAACGTGATTCCGCGATGAGACTTTGAAGAAGTGCAGTTTTAGAAGTCTCGAAACTTTAAAGAAATCGCAGAGCCTCCCAAGCTTACTTCTCAACAGGTTTAGTTTTCCTCATACTTCTACAATCGTATCTAATTCTGCCTGATAAGAGCGCGAATCGAGAAGAATTCTACCTCGCTTTGGATCTCGAGTAGAAAAAAAAAAAAAAAAGAAAAAAAATGAACAATTAAAAGTTTCGATTACTTTTTTTTTCCTTCCTTCCGTTGAACAGCCAAGAGAGAGCCTGTCACACGCTATATCTCTCGAGTCGCATGCAGTCCCAGTTGCATTTCCCCGATGTCGTCGAAATGTCAATGTTTGACTACCCCCCCCCCCTTCCCCCGTGAGAGAACAGATGATGCTAATTAATCCTCATTAACACCTTCGAGCCTGTCTAGTTCTAAAATTAGCTATAAGATAGAGAATGAGGAGAGTTTTATTATCGGCAATCAACGTAAGTGCGGCCGACCTTCCAGTCGGTCCCCGTCCGTCGCAGGTGCACATGCACATTTCCGAATTGTCGTGGACGCTCCATC